AAAACAAAAAGTACGAAATTTGGTGGAAAATTTACGAAATTATGCTCTCGCGAATTTTGATGTGTCAGCGATATTTACGAATCGGCGATTTTGCCGACTTTGACTCCCATTTTAGGCCAATTACATTATTCCAATCAACCAAATTCTTAGCTATTTCACTAGTATTACTTCTATTCTATCGATTGAGCACAAGAAATCGCCAAGTCAACTGTTTCAACTACAAAATAAAGTGATCGGAAATTGTCAATTTGGCCAATTTAACACAAAGTTCAAAATATTTCAATTTCAAAATAGGGTCCAGAATAAACAATGTAGGCATTCCTGGCACTAAACTAACATTTCCTCTGTTCGTTAGTTATGTTTTGAGGCTTTACAAATAAATTCCATTTTGATTTTTTATTCACATAATGAATTTTTATTCACACCAAAAAATAGATGATTTACTGTTATGCAATACTGTAATAATTGTATAAATATCTTCACCATATTTGTGAATGTATATTAGACCCACCAGCTGATGTGTATTAGACATGTGAGGTCGTTTGTTTACTCTTGAATATCGGCAAAAATTTAACATTTCCGCTACTTTGAGCTCAGTTTCAAGCCATTTCCAATGCTAAAACCAATCAAAATCATCTCTATTTCTGTAATATGTCTTCCATTCTATCAAATGAGACCAAGAAATCGCAAATACAACTATAAAAAACATACGAAAAAACACTGCAAAGTTGCTGTTTTAATCGAAAAATCATGATTTCAGTTTTTTTCTCTCATACACAGTCTGCTGCAGGATCTGTTTTATGTGGTGCACACATACCACATAGATGTATTCTCTCATATCTAGGCCCAAATGTACCACTCACAGTTTATCAGAGTGAGCTGAGCTCATGGCGTAGATCTACGGTTTGGACACTCACCGTAAAGCCGTAGATCTACGGGACGGACCCTGAAAGGGTTAATAAGACAAACAAATTTTATTCCTAATAGAGAAACATAAAACAAGTATCATTAAACACATTGAAAAGAAGGCCTTGCTGCTGTCAGAAAAACTAAAGAACCCCAATATAAAATGCCACCAGTCATTGAAAGCTGCACAGTAAGTGTAGTCTGCTTCAGTTAAATATTGGTGAATACAGTATAACACCAGAGACAGTAAAAGTAATGTTGAAGTTTGGCCTTGTGCCTCTGCTTCAGGATGAGGGACTGATCATCTGTCAGAGCTGAGAAACAGGTTACCTTGAAATTACTTCTGTTGTCTCCATTGTTATATTCATCTGATGAAACTTGCTGTGCAAGCAAAATGATGTTTTGACAATGTGTTATTCATTAACTTGTCAACATTATTGTATAAGAGTATTTTTGATCTTGGCAGTCATCTCCTGGCAAGATAAGGTGATCAAAACAGAAAATGCTTTCATTGTTATTCATTCAGTTGCTGTCTTGCCAGAAGCATGATGATATCCCACTTTGGAAGTCCCTCCAAAATGCAACATTCCTACTCCTCTTTAACCCTTAAACTGTCCAAACGTAGATATACGTTGGCGTGCGGCAGGCTCCGAACGTAGATCTACGTTTTTTTTTTTTTCATGCTCTCAAATGGGGAAAATCAGGGTCAGAACGCTACGCACGTGAATGTAGATCTATGTTTGGACAGTTTAACCCTTTCAGGGTCCAAGGCCCAAATCTGGAGTCACACACCAGTATCCAAGAATTTTCAAAAAAAAAATTTGTTATTTTTTCTTATGAAATCGTAGAGAATCTTTTTGTGAAGGTAATAAAACAAAAAGTACGAAATTTGGTGGAAAATTGACGAAATTATGCTCTCGCGAATTTTGATGTGTCAGCGATACAGTGGACCCCCGGTTAACGATTTTAATCCGTGCAAGAGGGCTCATCGTTATGCGAAATAATCGTTATGCGAATGAATTTTCCCCATAAGAAATAATGGAAATCAAATTAATCCGTGCAAGACGCCCAAAAGTATGAAAAAAAATTTTTTTACCACATGAAATGTTAATTTTAATACACACAAACTGAAAAAGGCATGCACAATTAAATGACACTTACTTTTATTGAAGATCTGGTGATGATTGATGGGATGGGAGGAGGGGAGAGCATTATCTTCTTACTGTTTAGAAGGGGAATCCCCTTCCATTACGACTTGAGGTAGCAAGTCCTTTTCCGGGTTACTTCCCTTCTTCTTTTAATGCCACTAGGACCAGCTTGAGAGTCACTGGACCTCTGTCGCACAACAAATCTGTCCATAGAGCTCTGTACCTCCCGTTCCTTTACGATTTGTCTAAAATGGGCCACAACATTGTCATTGAAATAGTCACCAGCACGGCTTGCAACAGCTGTGTCAGGGTGATTTTCATCTATAAAGGTTTGCAGTTCAACCCACTGTGCACACATTTCCTTAATCTTTGAAGTAGGCACAATGGATTCCACAACTGGCATAGGCTTCTCAGGGTTAGCCCCAAACCCTTCAAAATCTTTCTTAATTTCCATACTAATTCTCACCCTTTTTACCACAGGGTTGGCACTAGAAGCTTTCTTGGGGCCCATGGTCACTTATTTTCCAGAAACAGCACCGAAAATACTGTAATAATACGAAATATTCCGAGTGTATGCTTGGATGTTACCGCGGAGGCTGGCTGGTAAACAATGGGACGGAGCGGCACATGTGAGGCTGGCTGAGGGCACATTGGACGCGTCTCGGACGAAAATCGGTATGCGGGTTTTTAATCGGTATGCGGGGCAAAAATTTTGCGATAAAAGTAATCGTTATGCGGAAAAATCGCTATGCGATGCCATCGTTATGCGGGGGTCCACTGTATTTACGAATCGGCGATTTTGCCGACTTTGACTCCCATTTTAGGCCAATTACATTATTCCAATCAACCAAATTCTTAGCTATTTCACTAGTATTACTTCTATTCTATCGATTGAGCACAAGAAATCGCCAAGTCAACTGTTTCAACTACAAAGTAAAGTGATCGGAAATTGTTAATTTGGCCAATTTAACACAAAGTTAAAAATATTCCAATTTCTAAATAGGGTCCAGAATAAACAATGTAGGCATTCCTGGCACTAAACTAACATTTCCTCTGTTCATTAGTTATGTTTTGAGGCTTTACAAATAAATTCCATTTTGATTTTTTATTCACATAATGAATTTTTATTCACACCAAAAAATAGATGATTTACTGTTATGCAATACTGTAATAATTGTATAAATATCATCACCATATTTGTGAATGTATATTAGACCCACCAGCTGACGTGTATTAGATGTGTGAGGTCGTTTGTTTACTCTTGAATATCGGCAAAAATTTAACATTTCCGCTACTTTGAGCTCAGTTTCAAGCCATTTCCAGTGCTAAAATCAATCAAAATCATCTCTATTTCTGTAATATGTCTTCCATTCTATCTAACAAACTACTTTCATTACGTGCTACATCATACCTTGTATATTTATTTATCCTCTTTTTCATAAAATATGTATTACTTATTACCAAATTTCTTTCTACACATAGGTCAATTAAAGGCTCCCCATTTACATTTACCCCTGGCACCCCAAATTTACCTACTACTCCCTCCATAACATTTTTACCCACTTTTGCATTGAAATCCCCAACCGGAGGATCATTATTATTACCCTAACCTCTCTGACCAAAGTTGTTATGCTCTAACCAGAAGGAAATAGTGGTTACAATACTTGGAGTGTAACATTTTCATTGGGGGATGTTGTATCATCTGCCAAATCTTTTGCTTTCATAGGGAGTGATTTTCGTGTGGAAGTATGGTACTAATCTCTATAGGATTTGCCAAGTGTATATAATCATGTATCTCTCCCGTCTTCATTTTAGGGAGTACAGGTTGAGGAACTTCAAGAGTAATTGGGGTGTTTTATCACAGTTATGTGTGCCATGAAGGTTCTCTGTACACTTTCTAGGTCAGCAATTTCACCAGCCTTGAAAGGTGCTTTTAGTGTGCAGCAATATTCCAACCTAGATAGATGCTTGGCATCCCTAGTACTTTTAGAAATAAAGATATTATTGTATTATTATATTACACATTGCCCTCAAATACATCACCAGTGCCTCCAGCCTCCTCACTGCAATGTTTAAAACCCATGCTTTGCACCCATTTAACAGTGCTGGTAAGTAAGTTTATTTAGATACATGTACAAATACAGTTACACAAATTATTATACATAGTAACATGTGTGTAAATTACCTAGGGTAACACCAGAAACCGGTTATTTTCATATAGTCGGACTTGAGTCCTGGAAATGGGAAGTACAATGCCTGCACTTTAAAGGAGGGGTTTGGGATATTGGCAGTTTGGAGGGATATGTTGTGTATCTTTATATGTGTATGCTTCTAGACTGTTGTATTCTGAGCACCTCTGCAAAAACAGTGATAATGTGCGAGTGTGGTGAAAGTGTTGAATGATGATGAAAGTATTTTCTTTTTGGGGATTTTCTTTCTTTTTTGGGTCACCCTGCCTCGGTGGGAGACGGCCGACTTGTTGAAAAAAAAAAAAAAAAAAAACACCAGAGATGAAATTCTTAGTCTTCACCCTTCATAGATGTCTTTCCTGTGTTCACTTTCATTTCCTTGTTTTTTTTCCTATGTTTACTTTTAATTTCCTTCTTTTGCATACTCTCCTAAATTTCTCCTAGCACCATCAATAATATGATGAATATTTATCTTGAATCTTGTACTAAGATATCTATGCAATATACATTCCTAACTCCACACTCAGAATTTGTAAATCTTTGAAATTCCTGAACATATTAGTAAATGTATGTTTATCATAATTATCTAAGAATAGTTTTTTCTGCATTCTGATTTTGTTCTAAAATACAAAATACATATGCTACAAAAAAACTGCTTTATTTATATTGGTAAATATGTTTTCACATCACTCTTTTTTAAAAGAATATAACCAAAGACTTCTTTAGTAATTTATTAATAAAAATATTTTCTTCCTAGGTTAAGTGGGTTGACCAACAGAAGTTACTCATTAGAAGCAAAAGGCAATTAATTTTTAAAACAAGACCAAGTAAAAAATATGAAGAAGAAAATGATCAATGGAGTCCCAGAGATATAAAAGGAAGAGAGAGATTCCATAGCCTTCCTTCTAATGTCCAGAATTCAAGAACTATGATGGCTAAATTGAGAAGAAGGCTCCCTGAATTTGTTAGAAACAGAGAGCCGCAGTGGAGGGCACAGGAGAATCTGGATTACTGGACAATGAAAGAAGAGGAACTGGAGATAAACAAGAATTCACTTTCACACAAACAATCCACTGCACAAGAACCCAGTTTTAAGCATAAATTGATGACCATTCCACTCTTCAGAACCATTGGCAACTCAGTTGACTTGGCCAGGGCCAGACTTGCTGCATCTCGGTCTATAAGGGAGTATGATGCACAACACTTTGTTGATGGAGATTATGCTAGACCTTATTTCCTAAGAAACAATGTTTCTTTTATTCAACCTAAGACCATTATTAATACAGAACATGAAAGCAAAGACATTTACCTCAATTCAAGTCATTCATCATTAACCACTGGAATAGATGACTTTGGAAAATGGATAGATAGTATAGCAGAAACTACAATGGCATTTAACGATCCCTTATACAAGGATCAATGGTACTTGGTAGGTTTATCATTGTACCTGGTAGAAGTACTTGTGTTTGTACCCATTATATCAGTGGTTCTTATCCTTTTTTTAAATACCTCTAACCCCCCATCACTTATTTTTTTTTGTACCCCTATCAAAAATAACATAAAACATTAAATTCTTTCTGAAACTTTTATATTTTTACAACAAAAACAAATGTAATGGTGATGTAGATCAATGACAGTTGTGAGAAAGAACTTAATGCATTAAGTTGTATATAGAAAAAATGCATATGTCTAATTTAGTGACTCTTTTCTTGATGTTCATTAGTGATGATGCTGAAACCAGGTTCATTCATAAATAGCCACACGTGTGCCATCACTTGCGTCAAGATGGTTTCTAGCCTTTTATGTGCAGAAATGTTGAAAGAGCTGTCTCACACAGATAGGTGGTTGGAAATGGCAAGAGAACGTTCGAAGCTTTTTCTGCTAAGTTGAGTTGTGCGCACCAGAAGTTTTGTACCATAATTGATTCATATTCTCTCAGATTTCTTCATGGGTTTTCAGTTCAGCATGCTCATCTTTCATTATTTCAGTATCATCCATGGCTTCCTTATTCATTCCTGAGCCATAGTAACCGTGGAAAAATTTAATCAGGTCCTGCAAATGATTTTTCACTTCAGTCATGATGGACAGTTCTTCTTCTCCACCAACAGCCTCATCAAGTGAAGGAAGATTAACAAAATTTCCAGTTTGAGTGAAATTTTTCCAAATTAGATGTTTTTAGTGAAGGCCAACAACTTTTCTCTGGCAATGATCATAGTCATTCTTGTTCATTGGATGGAAGTGTTCAGTTTTTTGAGGTATATGACTATATCTGCCATGTATTCTAGAGGCAAAATAAGTTCCTTTTTTTCAGAGATGTTGTACAATATATAAAGTGTTTGGAAGAAAACAGAACTGAACACTAACTTAACCCTTTCATTGTCTCCCATGGAGATGCATGTTTTTGAGATCAGTGGCACTTACATATGTTTGTCTTAATCATGGCACCCTCAGATATGCTGTGAGGAAAAATTTTGGCCTAGACATAAATTGGTCTATGCAGTGAGTGTGCATAGTATAAAAAATTCCAGCCACACTCAGTGTATGATGGGAACAGCTAACTTCTGACTTGTGTTTTGGGCTAAAATACAGCAACAACTTTGAGGCTTTTTATAGGGTAGGTTTTCATGGTTTTATTGGCTCTTTCTTGTCACTGATAGACTGAATGACATACAAGTGAAATGGCGATGATTTTGAACAGTTTGAGACCAGAAATGGCCTGTAATAGGCTTCAAATAATGGAAATATTCGATTTTTGGCATTTTTTTTTCCGAGTCTGTATTATGGATTTTTACTTGGGATGGCCTAAACCATGAACGATATTTATTAGTTATATTTTATTAGCTGAGAAATAGGGTAAAACTTTTTTTTTTTTGTGATGGAATCAAAATGGAGGGGAAGTGTTATTTAGGAGAAGCCTGGAGACATGTTTCATTAACAGAGCAAACTTTGCTTTAGTGGTTGAAATTCTTACTGTGTTTATTTTTTTAATTAATAATGGAATTTGTTGAATTTTGTGTAAAATTTAAATTGAAATGCTTATTTCTCTGTAAAGATTACAATGAGTGGTTTGCATATTATAAAACAACAATTACAAAGAAGGCAACTAGCATGCCTAGGCATTTCAGGCAGACTAATCATAATTCTTATTCTGTATTACAAATTACAAATTATTAAATGGATTTACTTACAATAGTGAGGTAGTTCAGAACATTTAAGAATATAACAATTTGCAAAATTAGTAATGAGAATGGTTTTGTCTTGGCATGATACACAGTTTCTATTAAAGCTCCTGCTGTATAGCCCTTGTGGCTTAGCACTTCTTTTTGATTATAATAATAATAATAAATTAAAGCCAGCATACTCTGCAAAGGAGGTAGTTATGTCAGTTTAAAAATGTAATTTGTAAAGACCTTAGGAAGACAGTATGAGTGAATGATGGATGAAAGTTTTCTTTTTCAGGCCCTCCTGGCCTTGGTGGGAATCGGCCGGTGTTGATAAAAAAAAAAAAAAAAAAAAAAATAATAATAATATTAAAGCTCCTATATTGGAGTATCTCAGGCAAACTTATGACTAGCTTGAGATTTATTAGGCAATTTTATGTTCATAGTCATTTGAGCCAGGAGGAGGATATATGCTTGTGTGTGTGTGTGTGTGTGTGTGTGTGTGTATACATGAATGGATGGTTTTCATGTAGTTACCTGATGGTGGGTTGTGTTAGGAGATAAGATATTTTTTGACGGTAGTTTTGAAAATGGTGGATGAGAGTGCAGTTCTAGAGTTTTCAGGCAGGGAGTTCCAGATTTTAGGCCCTTTAATGTACATTGAACGTTTGTATAGAATGTCATAGAGATTTTTAAGTCTGGTGTTGTGTCTATGGGTCCTGTTACAACTATCAAGAAAGCATTTTAGTTCAGGGTTAATATTGGAATTTATGGTTCTGTAAATGTAGGTTGCACAGTAGTAAGTGTGGAAGTGTGGATGCTCTGAACAGTGAGTAAGTCTAGGTTTTTGAAGAGTGGGGGGGGGAGAATGTGCCCTAGGATTGGATTGTGTGATAATTCTTACTGCAGCTTTTTGTTGAGTTATTATTAGTTTTAGGTGTGTTGCTGCTGTTGATCCCTAAGCACAAATGACCTCTGGGAGTTTTAAAGTCAGTTTCTTAACTCAATAGAACAGAAAAGATACAGTGAAATAGCCAGGAATTAAGTCAGTTTGAACGACTGAATTAACCTAAAATATTTCTTAAAGTGGACGAAATTGCTGCTGTGTAAAGTGCTCCCCAATCCTCCTAACTTTGCATGGTGTAATTCTGTAAATTACACAAAAAATTTTGCAATTTTGGTGTCATTTCCTTTAAAAATGGTTCTCTACCATTTTATTTATTTTCAGAAAGCTGCAAAACACTGCCGGGACTTTTAATTTTAGGAGTCACGACAGTAATAGGGTTAAATGGACCAGTGAAATAAACAGTGTCTTACAGTAGAATATATTTTTCAGTATCTTTCATAGACGATATTTTGAATTGATCAGTGTGTTTGGTACTTGCAGCTGTTTTTCTTTTGTGTGTCATAGGGTACTGGCACCCATGGTTAAGAAGCACTGAACATAAGAACATAAGAAAGGAGGAACACTGCAGCAGGCCTGTTGGCCCATACTAGGCAGGTCCTTTACAATTCATCCCACTAACAAACATTTGACCAACCCAACTTTCAATGCCACCCAAGAAACAAGCTCCGATGTGCAAGTCCCATTCAAATCCAACCCCTCCCACTCATGTACTTATTTTTTTTTTTTTTTTTTATTATCACACCGGCCGATTCCCACCAAGGCAGGGTGGCCCGAAAAAGAAAAACTTTCACCATCATTCACTCCATCACTGTCTTGCCAGAAGGGTGCTTTACACTACAGTTTTTAAACTGCAACATTAACACCCCTCCTTCAGAGTGCAGGCACTGTACTTCCCATCTCCAGGACTCAAGTCCGGCCTGCCGGTTTCCCTGGATCCCTTCATAAATGTTACTTTGCTCACACTCCAACAGCACGTCAAGTATTAAAAACCATTTGTCTCCATTCACTCCTATCAAACACGCTCACGCATGCCTGCTGGAAGTCCAAGCCCCTCGCACACAAAACCTCCTTTACCCCCTCCCTCCAACCCTTCCTAGGCCGACCCCTACCCTGCCTTCCTTCCACTACAGACTGATACACTCTTGAAGTCATTCTGTTTTGCTCCATTCTCTCTACAGTCCGAACCACCTCAACAACCCTTCCTCAGCCTCTGGACAACAGTTTTGGTTAATCCTGCACCTCCTCCTAACTTCCAAACTACGAATTCTCTGCATTATATTCACACCACACATTGCCCTCAGACATGACATCTCCACTGCCTCCAGCCTTCTCCTCGCTGCAACATTCATCACCCACGCTTCAACACCCATATAAGAGCGTTGGTAAAACTATACTCTCATACATTCCCTCTTTGCCTCCAAGGACAAAGTTCTTTGTCTCCACAGACTCCTAAGTGCACCACTCACTCTTTTTCCCTCATCAAATTCTATGTTTTCACCTCATCTTTCATAGACCCACCCGCTGACACGTCCACTCCCAAATATCTGAATACGTTCACCTCCTCCATACTCTCTCCCTCCAATCTGATATTCAATTTTTTCATCACCTAATCTTTTTGTTATCCTCAAAAACCTTACTTTTTCCCTGTATTCACCTTTAATTTTCTTCTTTTGCACACCCTACAATTCATCCCCCAAATTTCTCTGCAACTTCCTTCAGAATCTCCCAAGAGCACAGTGTCATCAGCAAAGAGCAGCTTTTTGACAAACTCCCACTTTGTGTGTGATTCTTTATCTTTTAACTCCACGCCTCTTGCCAAGACCCTCGCATTTACTTCTCTTTTCAACCCCATCTATAAATATATTAAACAACCCCGGTGGGCATCACACATCCTTGCTAAAGGGCCCACTTTTACTGGGAAAAAATTTCCCTCTTTCCTTTCATACTCTAACTTGAGCCTCATATCCTCGTTAAAAACTCTTCACTGTTCAGTAACCTACCTCCCACACCATACACTTGCAACATCTGCCACATGCCCCCCCTATCCACCCTGTCATACGCCTTTTCCAAATCCATAAATGCCACAAAGACCTCTTTAGCCTTATCTAAATACTGTTCACTTATATGTTTCACTGTAACACCTGGTCCACACACCCCCTACCTTTCCTAAAGCCTCCTTGTTCATCTGCTATCCTATTCTCCGTCTTACTCTTAATTCTTTCAATTATAAACTCTACCATACACTTTACCAGGTACACTCAACAGACTTATCCCCTATAATTTTTGCACTCTCTTTATCCCCTTTGCCTTTATACAAAGGAACTATGCATGCTCTCTGCCAATCCCTAGGTACCTTACCCTCTTCCATACATTTATTAAATAATTGCACCAACCACTCCCAAAACTATATCCCACCTGCTTTTAACATTCTATCTTTATCCCATCAATCCCGGCTGCCTTACCCCCTTTCATTTTACCTACTGCCTCATGAACTTCCCCCACCTCACAACTGGCTCTTCCTCACTCCTACAAGATGTTATTCCTCCTTGCCCTATACACGAAATCACAGCTTCCCTATCTTCATCAACATTTAACAATTCCTCAAAATATTCCTTCCATCTTCCCAATACCTCTAACTCTCCATTTAATAACTCTCTCTCCTATTTTTAACTGACAAATCCATTTGTTCTCTAGGCTTTCTTAACTTGTTAATCTCACTCCAAAACTTTTTCTTATTTTCAACAAAATTTGTTGATAACATCTCACCCACTCTCTCATTTGCTCTCTTTTTACATTGCTTCACCACTCTCTTAACTTCTCATGTACTTATCCAACCTAAATTTGAAACTACCCAAAGTCCTAGCCTCAATAACCCAACTAGGTAGACTGTTCCACTCATCAACTACCCTATTTCCAAACCAATTACTTTCCTATGTCCTTTCTAAATCTAAACTTATCTAATTTAAATCCATTACTGCGGGTTCTCTCTTGGAGAGATATCCTCAAGACCTTGTTAATATCCCCTTTATTAATACCTATCTTCCACTTATACACTTCGATCAGGTCTCCCTCATTCTTCGTCTAACAAGTGAATGTAACTTAAGAGTCTTCAATCTTTCTTCATAAGGAAGATTTCTAATGCTATGTATTAATTTAGTCATCCTACGCTGAATGTTTTCTAACGAATTTATGTCCATTCTGTAATATGGAGACCAGAATTGAGCTGCATAATCTAGGTGAGGCCTTATAATGATGTATAAAGCTGCAGTATGACCTCTGGACTTCTGTTGCTTACACTTCTTGATATAAATCCCAGTAATCTATTTGCCTTATTACGTACGCTTAGGCATTGCTGTCTTGGTTTAAGGTTGCTGCTTACCATAACCCCCAAGTCCTTTTCGCAATCTGTATGGCTAAGTTCTACATTATTTAACTTATATAGTGCTAGGGTTATGGACACTCAGAGCTTCAGAACCTTGCATTTATCTACATTGAACTGCATCTGCCACTTTTCTGACCAAGAGTAGAGTTTGTCTAAATCCTCCTGAAGTTCCCTAACATCTACGTTTGAATCAATTATCCGACCTATCTTCGTGTCATCGGCGAATTTGCTCATATCACTAGTAATTCCCTCATCAAGATCATTGATATATATTATAAACAACAACGGGCCTAAGACTGATCCCTGTGGAATGCCACTTGTTACTGATCCCCACTCGGATTTAACCCCATTTATGGACACTCTCTGCTTCCTGTCTGTGAGCCATGATTCAATCCACGAGAGCACCCTTCCCCCAATGCCATGAGCTGCTACTTTCTTCAACAGTCTTTGGTGCGGAACTCTATCAAATGCCTTACTAAAATCTAAGTAAATAATTTCAAATTCTTTATCGTGGTCAACAGCCTCAAAAGCTTTACTGAAGAAAGTTAATAAATTAGTTAGACAAGACCGGCCCTCTTGTGATCCATGCTGAGTATCATTAATCAAGCTATGCTTATCGAGATGGCTTCTTATAATTTGAGCTATAATTGACTCTAGTAATTTGCCTACAATTGAGGTCAGGCTTATTGGGCGGTAATTTGACGGTAACGACTTGTCCCCTGTTTTAAAAATAGGAATTACATTAGCCATCTTCCACATATCAGTCACTACACCTGTGTTGAAGAGATAATTAAAATATTAGTTAAATGGTTCACAGACTTCCATTTTGCATTCTTAAGAACCCTTGAAAAAACCTCATCAGGACCCGGTGACTTATTTGCTTCAGTTGGTCTATCGCTTCACAACCATTCACTAGTGACTGTGATGTTACATAATTTATCTTCTTCTGGCCTACTATAAAAATTAATTACCGGAATATTATTAGTGTCTTCCTGTGTAAAAACCGAGAGAAAAATAATTATTTAAAATCGAGCACATTTCATTCTCTTTGTCAGTAAGATGCCCATAGTTATTTTTAAGGGGACCTATCTTATCTCTGGACTTTTGTTCTGTATACCTGGAAAAAACTTTTTGGGTTAGTTTTAGAATCCCTAGCAACTTTAATTTCATAGTCCCTTTTAGCTTTTCTTATCCCCTTTTTAATGTCCCTCTTAATGTCAATATACTGATTCATAAGATGACCCTCGCCTCTTTTGATACGCCTATAAATTCCTTTCTTATGCCCTAGTAGATTTTCAGGTATTATTCATCCATTTTGGGTCATTTCTATTTGATCTAATTTCTTTATAAGGGATAAATGTTCTTTGAGCACATGTATTGTGTTCAGAAAACTGTCATATTGATAGGTCTCTTCGTTACCCCAGTCAACAGATGATAAGTGTTCTCTAAGCCCATCGTAATCTGCTAAGCGAAAATCTGGGACTGTTACTGAGTTATCCCTACTATCATACTTCCATTCAATTCTAAATGTAATTGATTTGTGGTCGCTAGCACCCAGTTCATCTGAAACTTCTAAATTATTAACAAGGGATTCATTGTTTGCCAGAACTAAGTCAAGCAGGTTATTACCCCTTGTAGGTTCTGTCACAAACTGCTTCAAAAAACAATCCTGAACTACTTCTAAGAGGTCGTATGATTCTAAATTCCCAGTCAAGAAATTCCAATCAATATGACTAAAGTTAAAGTCTCCTAGAATTACTACATTATCGTGCCTTGTGGCCCTAACAATTTCCTCCCATAGTAGTCTCCCTTGTGTATGTGTTATGAAAGTAACATTATAATGTTTCTAGCAGCCTGTAATGTTTGAGAGCATTTATTCCTATCATAATCTGACACTTTATAGTATTCATTGTCTAGACATATAAAATGGAGTGTTGGGGGGGGTGCCTTGATGCTGGTGAAGGGCTCTTGATCCAAGGTATGGTAGTTACCTTCCCCTTCCTTAGAAAAAACTTTACAACCTTCCATGTTCCAAACATTACATGATTCCTATGGGTTTAGCACTTCCCTATGAATATAATAATTACAATAATAATAATAATTGATTAAAAGACACAAAGCTTACAACAGAAGATAGAAAAATATTATAGATTACAAAGCATGTTAAGTTTGTGCACAAATTAGTTATTCATTGGAGTTTATTGATATAAAATTTGCCTTGTGTAACAAATAATTCCATTTAAGTGCCTGAGCTTGCTGTGATGCTGAAGTGAAAGTTTATGTATTGACTCAGTAAAGCAACACAAGCCCCAAGCAACCAAGCACACTCATGATTAACAAACAGTGATCATGTCTCCAACACTCCTTGATGGAGCACCATGTCTCCTATGCTCCTTGATGGAGTATCATGTCTCCAACACTCCTTGATGAAGCATGTCTCCAACACTCCTTGATGGAGCACCATGTCTCCAACACTCCTTGATGAAGCATGTCTCCAACATGCCTTGATGGAGCATCATGTCTCCAACACCTTGATGGAGCATCATGTCTCCAACACTCCTTGATGAAGCATGTCTCCAACACTCCTTGATGGAGCATCATGTCTCCAACACTTCTTGATGGAGCATCATGTCTTCAACACTCCTTGATGGAACATCATGTCTCCAACACTTCTTGATGGAGCATCATGTCTCCAACACTCCTTGATGGAGCATCATGTCTCCAACACTCCTTGATGGAGCATCATGTCTCCAACACTTCTTGATGGAGCATCATGTCTCCAACACTCCTTGATGAAGCATCAAGCCTCCAATACTCCTTGATGGAGCATTAAGTCTACAACACTCCCTGATAGAGCAGCATTAAGCTTCCAACACTACTTGATGGACCATCAAGTCTCCACCACTTCAGATTACCCTGTGACTGCAACATCTCCACTCCTCCTTGAGAGTCCAGGCACTGCTTTACCTGCCTCCAGGACTTGAGTCTGGTTAACCAGTTTCCATGAATCCCTTCATAAAAGTTATTTTGCTCACTCTCCATCAGAACATCCATTAAAAACTACTTGTTTTCACTCATTCCTATCTAACCAGCTGTCATAAATCTGCTGATGCTCAAGCCCCTAAAACTCATCCTTTTTTACCCCTTCAATGGCATTTTCACATATGGTGCTAATAATCTTGCTTGATCTAGCAGTGACACACAGCCATATCAACCCTTTTATATTATTTGCAGCACAACACAGGTCAGCTGGGGCATGCAGGGTATGACTTGAATGTAACATGGGCCTGGCTTCGAGGATACACAGGACGTGGTGTTCACCTCTCCATCCTAGATGATGGAATCCAAACCACAAATGCAGATATTGCAGCCAATTATGTAAGTGCAAAAATACCTTTTAGTTTTAAATTTAGGTTAATGGGAAGTTACTGTGAACGTTTGTGATCATGTATGGTAGAGGGCATTAAATTTTGGAGAGTCCTAGACTTCTGTATTCTAATTTTGTGAAGTATACCACTAACTGGGCATTTTTTCTATAAAGAGATCCTGTGGTTTAATTATAAAAATTAGACCAGTCAAGATGACATCATTTATCCATATAGCATTAGTATTAAAATTAAGATTTATTGAAAAGTTAACCACTCTTATCCTGTGTAGACTTACGTTGTTTTTAAGCATTAGGATTAGTCTTCCTGAAATGCCCCGGCACGATAATGACTTTCTTTGTACTTAACAAATCAAAAATTGTAATTACACACTGTAACCTTCACAAAGAAATAAAATCTTTATCTTTAACCGAAAGTATCATGCTTTACTTTGAGTCGCAGCAAGGGTCACCCCGATCATCAAAGGAGGCAATCCAACAGAACTAAATAACTAGAGACCGATATCTAACTTGCCTTTACTCTCTAAAATCTTCAAAAAATATACATAAACAAATCTACTCCTACCTACCATACCCCGGCCGGGATTGAACCCGCGGTCATAGCTAGCTGGTCTAGTGGCTAATGCGACAGGCTAGAGTTTTGAGACTCTATGACCGCGGGTTCAATCCCGGCCGGGGTATGGTTTGTTTGCAGTCGTGTCATTACAATTTCTTGAGTCTACTCCTACCTCATATCCCACAACATATTGAACCCCTGCCAGTCTGGGTTTAAGCTGAAAACAAACACAAATGATGCAATTATTCAGATGCTTGAATTACGCTTGCTCTTCATGGTACTCTGCCTTGACAAAAAACTGAAAGATAAACTGCAAATCACCCAGAACAAAATGGTAAGATTCATCCTGGACCTGGGTCCAAGAGAACATGTAAGCCTGGATGAATTACAACAATTGGATATGCTGAATATTGAAGACAGAGCAAAACAACTGAAGTTAAATAAAAGTTTATAAAATTTCTCACACACAGTGTCCAGAATATCTTGCTGCTAATTTTGTAAAGGTTGGGAACCAAAACAATCATAGTACCAGGGGGGAGAGAGCACAACTTTGTAGTACCCACAGTCAGTGACCAGGCCTCAAACGCCTTTTATTGTACAGCAATAAAGGAATGGAACAGATTGCCTGCACATGTCAGAGCCAGTCATAGCATGAGCCAGTTCAAGAAAAGAGGCAAAAGGTACCTAATGAATGTAATGACAGAGAGGGAGAATGATTTTTTATTTTTTTAGCTAACACACATGTAAATATAGATAACTCTTCTTACTTTACTCTTAGTATGCATCCTTTATAGTATAATAATTTTTTTTTTCAACAAGTTGGCCGTCTCCCACCGAGGTAGGGTGACCCAAAAAGAAACAAAAATCCCCTAAAAGAAAATACTTTCATCATCATTCAACACTTTCACCTAACTCATACATAATCACTGTCTTTGCAGAGGCACCCATATACAACAGTTTAGAAGCATATATAAAGATATACAACATATCTCTCCAAACTGTCAATATCCTAAACCCCTTCTTTAAAGTGCAGGCATTGTACTTCTCATTACCAGTACTCAAGTCTGGCTATATAAAAATAACCGGTTTCCCTGAATCCCTTCTCTTAATATTACCCTGCTCACACTCCAACAACTCGTCAGGTCCCAAAAACCATTCGTCTCCATTCACTCCTATCTGACACTCTCACGCACGCTTCCTGGAAGTCCACGCCCCTCACCCACAGAACCACCTTTACCCCCTTCCTCCAAACTTTTCGAGGATGACCCCTACCCCGCTTTTCTTCCACTGCAGATTTATACGCTATCCATGTCATTCTACTTTGATCCATTCTCTCTAAATGACCAAACCACCTCAAGAACCCCTGTTCAGCCCTCCGACTAATACTTTTATTAACTCCACACCTTCTCCTAAAATCCACACTCTGAATTCTCTGCATAATATTTACACTACACATTTCCCTTAGGACATCTCCACTGCCTCTAACCACCTCCTCGCTGCAGCATTTGCAACCCAAGCTTCACACCTATATAAAAGTGTTGGTACCACTATACTTTCATACATTCCCTTCTTTGCCTCCATAGATTATTGTTTTTTCTCTCCACATATACCTCAGTGCACCACTCACCTTTTTTCCTCCATCACTTCTATGGTTAACCTCATCCTTCATAAGCCCATCCGCTGACATGTCAACTCCCAAATATCTGAAAACATTCACTTCTTCCATACTTCCTCTCTCCAATGTGATATAGTTTTTCTTTATCTAAATCATTTGATATCCTCATCACCTTACTCTTATCTATGTTCACTTTCAACTTTCTACCTTTACACACCCTCCCAAACTCGTCCACTAACCTTTGCAACTTTTCTTTTGAATCACCCATTAGCACAGTATCATCAGCAAAAAGTAACTGTGTCAACTCCCATTTTGCATTTGATTCCCCATAATTTAATCCCACTCCTCTCCCCAACATCCTAGCATTTACCTCCTTCACAACCCCATCTATAAATATTTTAAACAACCATGGTGACATTACACATCCCTGTCGAAGACCTCCTTTTACTGGGAAGTAATCTCCCTCTCTCCTACATACCCTAACCTGAGCCTCACTATCCTCATAAAAACTCTGCAGTATTTAGTAACTTACTACCTATTCCATTCACTTGCAGCATCTGCCACATTGCTCCCCTATCCACTCTATCATATGCCTTTTCTAAATCCATAAATGCAATGAAAATTTCCCTACCTTTGTCTAAATACTGTTCACATATATGTTTCAGTGTAAATGCTTGATCTATACATCCCCTACCCACTCTAAAGCCTCCTTGCTCATCTGCAACCCTACTTTCTGTCTTCTAATTCTCTCAATAATAACCCTACCATACACTTTTCCTGGTATACTTAGTAAACTTATTCCCTATAATTTTTACAGTCTCTTTTGTCTCCCTTCCCTTTATATAAAGGAACTATACTTGCTCTCTGCCAATCCCTAGGTACATTCCCTCTTTCATACATTTATTAAACAAAAATATCAACCACTCCAACACTGTATCCCCCTGCTTTTAACATTACTGTCATGATCCTGTCAGTTCCAGCTGTTTTACCCCCTTTCATTCTACGTAATGCCTCACGCACCTCCCCCACACTCACATCCTGCTCGTCTTCACTCCTAAAAGATGGTATACCTCCCTGGCCAGTGCATGAAATTACCGCCTCCCTTTCTTCATCGACATTTGAAAGCTCCTCAAAATATTTCTGCCATCTACCTATACCTCCATCTCCCCATCTACTAACCCCCCGACTCTGTTTTTAACTGACAAATCCATTCATTCCCTAGGTTTTCTTCACATGTTTTTCTCACTCCAAAATTTGTTCTTATTTTCATCAAAATTTCTTGACAGTGCCTCTCCCACTCTATCATCTGCTCTCCTTTTTCACTCTCTCACCACTCTCTTCACCTTTCTTTTACTCTCCATATACTCTGCTCTTCTTATAACACTTCTGCTTTATAAAAACCACTCATTAGCTATCTTTTTCTCTTTTATCACACCCCTTACTTCATTCCACCAATCACTCCTCTTTCCTCCTGCACCCACCCTCCTATAATTCAAACTTCTGCCCCACATTCTAATACGTACTGCATTTTTAAAACTATTCCAACTCTCTCCACTACTCATATTTGCACTAGCCCACCTTTCTGCCAATAGTTGCTTATATCTCATCCTAACTTCCTCCTCCGTTAGTTTATACACTTTCACCTCTCTCTTACTTGCTGTTGCCATTTTCCTTTTGTCCCATCTACCTTTTACTCTAACTGTAGCTACACCTAAATAATGATCCGATATATCAGTTGCCCCTCTATAAACATGTACATCCTGAGGCCTACCCATCAACCTTTTATCCACCAATACATAATCTGGCAGACTGTTTTCATTACGTGCTATGTCATACCTTGTATACTTATTTATCCTCTTTTTCATAAAATATGCATTACTTATCACCAAACCTCTTTCTACACATAGCTCAATTATAGGCTCCCCATTTTCATTTACCCCTGGCACCCCAAATTTACCTGCTACTCCCTCCACAACATTTTTACCCACTTTAGCATTGAGATCCCCAAAACAAGTCTTCTCTTAGGTTTAAAAAATCCTACCACTCAGTAAAATTTTTCCCCCAAAATCTCCCTCTCCTCTACATTTCTTTTTCTCGAGGTGCAAAAATGTTAAAAACCCATTTTACATCCCCCCTTATTTTACCCACAAACCCTTTAATTTATACATTTTTTTCCTTCTTTTTTTGCTGTAACTTATCTTAAACATTTTTGCTACCCCTTCTGTAGTTAACTTATTGAAACCCCTGAAATAATTCATTTATTTTCCCATGAAACTCTCTTACCCCCTTTGTTTGTTTATTTAAAAGCGAGGGGGAAACCAGTTCTTTCATTCTAAAATCCCAAAAACCCTCTTTTTTATCATTCGAACACCTGCACCTTCAAACATCCACTTTTCAGTTTCTCTTTTTTTTTTGTAAATATCGGAAAAGGGGGTTTCTAGCTCATTGTCCCAGCCTTTAGTTGACTTTTACAACCCACTCTTCAGAACTTGAATTATTTAAAATACAAAAATATACACATTTTATTGTGCCCAAATTATTACAGAACGTTAAAATCCAATTTAAAACCCTCACTCAAATCCCCTAGACAGCTAGACAGAAACAAAGGATAACAGAGGAAAAAAAAATTTTTGCATCCCCTTTTGTCTGTCTCCACTATGCGTTGCAATGCACATAAAGTGCTCAAGATCTAGAACTCTTTTCCCAAACCCGCAAGAGGTCCCTTCCCCCAAATCAATTTTTGGATGCCTTAAAGATCTCTCTTTCCTTTAAAAACCATACCCAAACTATGCTAATCTCTAACCAAATTTGAAGCAACTCTC